GAAGACTAAAAAAGGCGCTATACAAGTACAGGTCCATTTACCATTTACCATACAAAACAGTGTGTTTCTCCACTTTCAAGATGAACTTCTCATCGTCAGTGGTGTCAAATCTTCACTGACTGACTGCACGGGGTATTTTATTTTAAATTTTTTATCTATATATTTTATCTATACCGTTTCTGTGTCTGTGTCTGTGTTTGCACTGACTTCCTGTCAGTGCAAACTGCTTTGTTGTGCTAGATGCAGATGGGCCGTGGCTTCTGTCAAAAAAAGACCAGACCAGTATTCTCCATGGAGTAGAGGGACTCTTCTGGGGCTAAGGTTGGGTACCAAACTCCGTACTTTTAGAGGTACAGTCCAAATTCCTTCTGTACTACAGAGTTCAGATTACGTTAAATCACTCGGTTCTGAATATCGGTACATGGGAGCACATATGGGCGAGAGACTACGGTATAGACAGAAATAAAGCGAGGGCACGTGCATGGACTGTGTAACGCAAAGTGCAAAGCTGGCCAGGGCAACACATCTAACCTGAGGACTCACCTGGTCAAACACAAAATATATCTACAAGCTGAAGAGTGGAATGTTACCATGTTAGGTTAAGCCAATTAAGTCCCCCGCAGCAGCTGCAGCTAATGTTAGCTCGCTTGCAGCCGGCGTTGAAGTTAGCTCTCCAGGTATGACGAAAAGACGAGTCAGGCATCAACAACTTTATCAACATCTTCAAGTAATAAATGAGCTACCGAAACCAATAGTACTTGAATAGCATACTGCTTTAGTAAGTGGAGGTTAGACTTATTCTTTACAACTGAAATTACAATTTTGTTTATGTAGAGATGCCATAAAGGTACTGTTGGGCACCTTTATGCCATTGTGAATAGGGTGCACCATGGTGCTTCTGGTGGAATCACGAGCAGTCCCTAGAACGGGTGCAATCAGCGCCTTGGCAAGTCACAAGTAGTCATTAATACATTATAAATAGTCACAAGCAAAAACCGTTAAGCATTGCTGCGTTGGTGTTTTGAAATATCTAAACTAAGGTCTTGTTTCCTAAAATCCGAGGTGGCGCCTTCACCTCTCACCTTCTGACTTTGCGTACAGCACCATAACCTCACCAGCACCAGCCCTGAGAGATTCAACTCCGAGTTTTAGATTTATCATACACATTTAACTAAAACCATGTTCCAAGAACTGGAAACACTTCAGTGTGCTATCAGCTCTCTGTATATCACCACAATAGAAATCCTATCACACATGTTCTTTCCCATTTTTCTATCCAAACACCGCAACAGCACAGTCCACGCATTCCCACGTTCAAGCCCGTGTTTTCTCACATGAAGAGAAAAAAAATAACAAAACAATTAAAGAACTATCTGTCATCCAGCTAATAAAAAACAGCTTTAACTGACATAATGTATGGCCTAGATGACAACTGC